TCCATTGGTTCTTCCCTCCTGGAGCATTGCCCAGAGGTTGGTCCCTTGGCAGCTCAGGCTGGGGGACATGGGACCCCCAGGAGCTCACCTGCCTCTCTGCTTTACCGCAGCACCTATGCACCTGTGAAGCCTTTTCTGCGGGTGGACAAAGAAAAGGTAAGGAGGGACTCACCCCAACGATGAGCACCTATTTGACCCTGTCACCCCAGGGTTCCCAGACATCTCGGTGCTCCTTCCTGGGGTGCTGATGCCAAAGGGAGCTCACCCAGCCCCTTCTCCCAGGTGCAGATCTACAATCCTGCCTTCTTCAAGTACATCCACGACCGCTGGACGGAGCACCACGGGCGCTACCCCTCCACGGGAATGCTGGTGCTCTTCTTTGCCCTCCACGTCTGTGATGAGGTGGGTGGTGGCTCCTCAGGGTCCTCCTCAGGGCTGTGGGGTCCCTACACAGGATCATAGAATCCCAGACTTGTTTGGGTTGGAAGGGACCTTAAAGATCATCCAGTTCCAACCCTCCTGCATGGGCAGGGACACCTCCCACCAGCCCAGGCTGCTCCAAGCCCCATCCAACCTGCCCTTCAACACTGCCAGGGATGGGGCAGCCACAGCTTCCCTGGGCAACCTGGGCCAGTGAAATATTCCAGGGATGGGATTGCTGGGAACCTGAACCTCGCAGGTTTAAAGAGGGAGGTGGCTTCTCGGGTCCAACCACAGCAATTTTGCTTCCTCCCGTTGCCCAACACCAGGGCGATGGGCACCCTGGAGCAGTGGTGAGGGATGTGCCCCTTCAGCACGATCCCAAATCCCCCTGGCAGTGCGGTGGGTGCTCAGCCAAGGGGATCCCCAGCCTGGTGAGGGGGTTCAGGGCTGGCTCATTCCCCCCCCTTTCTCCTCACCCACCACAGGTGAACGTCTTCGGCTTCGGTGCCGACAGCCGGGGCAACTGGCACCACTACTGGGAGAACAACCGCTACGCCGGGGAGTTCCGGAAGACTGGG